AGCTACTATAAATTGACTTCCACTATAGTGATTCAGTGGATGCTGGATCTATACAATGCTATACAGGATATGCCACACCAGTCAATGCTTCTGGTAATTATTCTCCTCCATCATAAGTGTACCTAAGTGTATTTCTCAAACCTGATGAGTAAAACATGGTTTCACTTCAAATGAGGGATGAAGAAAGATTTCACTTTTAGTCATGATCAGAACTAACATTAGAAATTCACTGCAAAAAAGCTAAGGTTTAATAGGTGATGTTATGACAATCTATTATAAATAATTCAAAATGGGGTCAAGAATACCCGAATCTTTTTTAATCAATTTCTGTTAATAATTCACACAAAGTGATAAATGTACTAAGGTTATAGCATTGATGCAGAAATGTATTCTTCATTTTGTAAATATACAGAAAGATTACAAACACAAGTATTAAGCATTGGCACCTTCATGTTTATTCTTCAGGTGCTTAACATCAAGCCCTAATGCTTAACACCCATGTTTGTAACAATGTTTATCAAAATTCAAATCCTGACGATGAGAAAAAGTTTATTCATATACTGGTATATATCCTTCCAGTCCAACAGCAAGCATAAAAGTGATATCATATATCAGGTCTGCATTTTTTTCTTTTATTGAATTAAAAACCATAAAATTTGAGTTTTTCGCAAACTTCAAATAATTATAAATCAATGATAAATCAAAACACTCTATCTAATTATTTCCAATCATCGAAGATGAAGAAAAGACAGTCGATTCCAACCACCAAAACTTCAATGATCAAATTCAATTTTTAGCACTGGCCAGCTTCAGGCTTTTGTTTACCTAAGAATGTAATTGATTACAATGTGTTTATGGGACATGATGTTCGTGTATTTAATGGTGAAGAGGCAGTCCATATCTCCAGATGAATAAATGGACCTCCAGAAAAAATAACGATCAACATCATTGTGACTCATATCACTTTTATGATAAATGACTGAAGAAAATGTAAATTAAATCTGTGTTTGGATGTCTGGGAACATTTGGTGTTATATATCTGTAAAATTGAAGTGTTTAATATATTGCTTGACTCATTTGTGGATAAAAGTAGTAGATTTAAAGCACTGACATATGCCAGAACTAGCAGAATTTATGCAGCATTAACAAGACAGTGATACAAGTACCATTAGATCAGTAACACACTTACTGTCAGTCTATAATATGGATGAAATATCACCAATCTAAATTTGGCATCAGACAATTAAATTACTGTTTTCAGGAATGTCCGCATAATTACTTATGTTATGTGATAAACAGAATTTTACATAATTTCTATATCATATGAGATTATGTGTAGTCACACGTTTTCCATCTGATGTTGCCATAGGCAGGTTTCATAAATATCGCATTGTAGCTGGTGGTTACCTAACAGAAGATAAGGAAGGCCCATGGCATGTCAGCCAGAGCAATGAAGGTAAAGTGTCTTGTGAAAAAGTGTCTTGTGAAAAAGTGTCTTGTCCAAAGACATAACCATGTCAACATATACATGCCAATTTCTCAGCTTCCAGAGAAAAACAATCTGCCACAGGTAGGAGCATCATTCATGTACCATGCACCTTTGTCGGAGTTTTTGTAAGCCACATTGTCACCAACTGAGCTTTATTGCAATGTAAACCCTTGATCTACAGAAATTTCCCAGAAATATATCTATTGATAATAAGACAATGGTACAACAATCTTGTCAAAAAACATATCCTTTTATCTGAATATGAAGTACAGTGCATCATTCCCAAACAGATACTTCTCAAATCCTATCACCTCTTGAAATGGAATGAAATGACCATGTACAGGATGACATCCTCTTTATTATAGTAAGAAAAACCTTCCCAATACCAATCCCTCTCCATTCCAAATAACAAACTGAACCATGAAAACAACACCTGTGGTGACAGTTGTAAGCGTTGCTCCCGAGCACAAACACCTGTCATAGGTACGCTTTGTACACAATACCTACCATGATCAGGAGGATTATAAAAAAGTAATGTATCGTTATCTCCAATGACAAACTGAAAGCATATTGATTGAGTCTATCATTTTACTGAGGCAAGAAAGGTCTACAAATAACATGTAAATACTGAGGCAGACTTAGAAAGATAGTTTCCCATCAAAATTGTTGGTCATAGATTAATATTATTTTAGCACCTACAGAATAGAAATATTAGTAAAGTGTTTGTTTTACATGATTCATTTTCATACTGATCAATGCAAACACATATTTAATCATCAATTATATACGTAACCCATTCGAACAAGCTAACCATTCTTCAGGAGCTACATTGGGACATATGTAACGTTACTTATAAGATCGCAGGGTAACATGTAGATTTCTTTAAACTAAAGTCCCATATAGTACAGGGCTCTCACACCCCATTTTGGGACTGGGGCCTGGAGCCCTTAGAATTGGGAAAAATAGCTGTTTTCCTTAGAATTGGGAAAACTTGGGGTCTAAATTGGGTGAAAAAGATACTATTTTGCATTGGGAATATTCGACCCCAAATCTGGCAGATCAAGAGCCCTATAGTATTTACCAAGTATCATTGGTTTTCTTCTTTACCTAAATATTTTTAATCTATCAAGCTCTTTTTTCTGTATTAAGTTGGACATGTGCAGTTTAAATGATTAAAGGAAACGGAATGGCTAATGTAATATACAGAAAGAAATGGGTTCAATTATATCAGAGACCAGACCGATCATCTTGCTTCACTTCTACAAACTGAACCCTCTCTGAACTGCCAAAATATTCATGTCCACTAACATAGTCAGTTTGAAGAATTTCAACTGCATCATTAAAAAGGTGATATTTTACAGATAGGTTAATTTTGCATATAAATATATGTGTACATATTTGCAATCTCTCTTCTCCATAAAAATGCACATATATGTTTACATGATCATTTCTTTTTCTGATGGAAGCTTACCAAATATATATCACTTTTGTGAAGTTACTTTGAATAAACCTCAAACTTTGACCCTGGAATCAATTCCTACCCAAACCCACAATAATAACATCTCCTCAGTGTGTCTCTACATCATCTACAATGATACAACTGGCCATAGTGACTTGATTATCATCCCATGGAGTTGCATGCGATGTATATCATCAAATTAGGTGTTTCATTGTCCATAGCACACACTTTTTTTCAATCAGTCTCTGTTTTGAATTTGAAAAAGCATGTTTACTTTTAATCTTACCAAAAATATTACCCTGTTTCCCCCTCATATCCATCAATGAAAAAAGGACTTAATCACACTGTCTTTTCATGATTTCCTTTTAGTATCAAGAACTGCATGCATGAATACATGTGAAAGTCAATATTATCTATGGGAAGTATTGGTAGATTGATTTCTCTATACGGTGAACTATATATGAACTCTTCACATTTATACACAGTGTAATAGACGACGGGCCTTAATGGTCATCTGATGATAAAGGTGTCTATTTGTTTTAATATGTACAGCAATAAAAATAGCAGAAACCTGCACAGTTACCTACGGCTTAAACTGAAGCTTAAAATATGTTTTTCAAAATTGCAGGGATATTGTTATTCAGATCAACCTGAAAAATAACAACATTTGGTCAGGACATAGACCATCTCAGGATCACTTCTCACAAGTTTTAGCTCTCCTCCAATTAGCAGAACTTGAGAAGAATTTGAAATTTTTTACATATGGCACATGACGACAGATGAAACATGATTGTTCTCGGCTAGGTCAACCTGACCCGAATCAACCTGATAACTTACAAAACTTAGGTATTTGTGCACTTATTATAGGTGACTGCCATTCTTTTAGTTATTTGAAAGAACAGTCTCTATATATAGGAGTGTGAGAATAATCAGGCTGGTGGATTTGTATATCATTCTGTCAACACTGCTGGTTTCATCAAAGGCAAATTTATACAGTTAAGAGTTATTTGCTTATTTTTTTTAACTGCAGGAATCCTATCATACTTTTAAAAATAAAACCATAACACTGATATCAACAAAACATGAGAGAATGCAATGGGATTGATAAGTTAGGTCTTCTTGTACTTTTTTGCAATAAAAAACAAAAAACCTTATCAGTGTTGATATTGAAGGACCATGTCATTTTGTGCATGTTCGCTGTATTCCTGTTCATAAATGATTACATCTCTCAACATACACGATACACATAATGATATAAGATTTGATTAAATTGTCAATACATATAACACAATCTGGATTCTGAAACGCGGAAACCCATTTCAATTTTCTGGTTCACTCATAACAATGCACAATCCGCAAATGAAAGTTCAGTATTATCTTACAAAGTCAGTGAGACTGAACTAAACGATCACCAATACTCACAATTTGTAGGTAGGAACAGGGAAAGTGTTTCTTTCGCTCTTCGCATCAATTTAGTTTCCAGGCAAGTCAGAAAGTTCTACTAAAATCCTGAATTCTGTTCTAATTAATAAGCAGAAAATTCCAGATTCGTATAATAAAATTCCTAATCTGACTTGAATATATGGAATTCATATGAATACAACCATTTGTTTTCATCATATATGAATATTCATATCCGTGAACTATCCTTATTTTGCAGAAAAGTTAACATTTAAGAAAATGAAGAACGGAAGGATGAAAATATTTTCTATCACATTGTCCCACCTAATCATATTTTTAGTAGAGTCCTGTCATAGGCGCTTGAAAATCATTTCCATAGCCGTATATAACAAACATTTTAAAGATCATGAAATAGTGTTTGATTTCATAGAGAGTATGAAATTACAATTGATCAAAGAATATAAATAATTTAATGCCAAATTCGCAATCATATCGACAATCAGTTAAACTGATAAAAGGTGTTATTTCTATGGTGACGATATATATATCATTTTCATATGATTTGCATTTTTATTTATACACAACAGTTGGTTTGAGAGTATGAAATCCAAGATGGAAGAAGAATAGGGGATGTAAAATCACGTGAATTTAACTTTTTGAACAGAGCATTACTATCAACTAAGAAACGAACTTCAACAAAGCGAAATCTTTCTCATTGATCACAAAATCATCATCAGATATGGCAGAGGAAAAGAAAGATGCTGGTAGTATGGTATGACACATAGAAAATGAGCAGCGTTTGATTGTTACCTTATGTAGATTCTTTCAGCAGGGCCTGTTAGTTCTGTATAATTAGAATATCTTGCTAAAATACCGATTAACGCTAGTCATGGGTAACAAGTTGTAACACTTCTAGAATCTGGTCCATAACTATCTATATAATAAAATCTAAATGGTTGATTCTCCCAAAACTTATAGGAGAAATTATACCTTCCTGATGCCTCGGGTACGATACTGTCTGGCTACTTTGAGAGAGTTCCCCTTGTTTTACTGGACATATTTCATTTCGCCAAGTTTCATTATGATCTGCTTTTCATCAGGGAAATGTAATGATATCTCATATTATACAGCCCTGTTGTCATGTAGCAGCAGATTTAAATAAAAAAGAAAAGCTTCACTTTGCATACTAAGTAAAACCTGTTGATCTTTTTTTCTTTCTTTATGGAGATATGGTCAAAAAATCTAAAGGCTTCAAAGTACTTCTTTTCTGTATGTCCTATGTGACGATAATACAGTTACTATTGTGATGACTCAATTTTCAAAGTGGCCAGGACTTTCAGTAAACATCTTTTAGCAAAAAATTATTTACCTTGTCATATATAAATGCAAGTTTTGATAATATATTGCAAAAGTTTGAATTGGCCAGTTTGCATATTTTATGCAAATTTGTGGTTTTCACCTGTTCAGAAAGGTTTTAAGAATTGACATGACCTCTGGTTTTCACTTTTTTGAATTGATAAAAAAGTACACTACACTGAAACGTTTGGCATGTTTATTTTTATGTGAATATTATTTTGATAATAACTTTGAATATAATCATGCACAACAGCATTTGTGGTGTACTATACTGGTTGTGGAGAAAGTAGTTTAAGAGTAGCTATATAGGTATAGATGAAGTTTGGAGACATTCTAATCTACAAGTAAGAGTTCACTTTGCAAACAGGCCTGTGGCCCTTTCTGGCTTAGTTGTAATAAGGCTTTCACAAGTTTAAAATTTTTGCCCGAGGTTCCCAACTTTTGTCATCCAACTCATACTTGGTTACCTAAAAGATTAATGTCCAGAATACAAAAATGACGATGATAATCAAGTTATAAAGTTTAGAGACAGCCTTTCTTACCTACCAAGTAAAATAAGATACAGTTGTACATGTTTTAGTTGTGTAAACACAACAAAATGTAAACTAAAAATAAGCATAAACATGTTTAAGACATTTTGTCAAATATTTTGTGCTGGTTACTGAAGGGACCACTTGTATAGGTTATATTTGGTGCCCAAAAACTACATTCTTATTTGTTATAGTCTAGATTTAAGAAAACTAATGATTCATCTAACAGGATCAAAACAGGATGCACTTGAAGTATAACTCCTAGTCTAAAACAGCTTTATATAGATATGATTAAAATTCAATAGATTTTTATACAGATTATGTTATTTTATTGAAAAAAAAAGAACTGAAATATATTATGTGATTTAACCTGTATCCTTATATTTAGATGTAACATATTTAGCTGCAATTAGGACATAGCAAAAAGGCATAAGTTCTCCATAAATCCTTAAGATTAAAACACATATGTTTCTGCTAAATACAGATTAATGTTTAACACAACCAACCCTGCATTTTTGTAGCATGACCTAAATTGTTTTTGACAATTTTTGAGTAAGAGGCTGTCAGAATTAAGATAGTTCTTTCTCTGTGTATCCTTATGATAACCCATGGTAAAAAACAATTTCCAAAATGAACAAAATCTCCCAGCTGACTTATACATTTTTTTTCATAATATGGCAAAATTAGCAGTAACACATATGTTATTATTAATTTAAGGCCTGCTTATTTTACCATAAAGGATATTTGATAAAAACAATACATTTGTTTATTCTTTGGTATGAATATGTTATTGTTTTTCAAAACTTAAAATATTATTAAAGTTGATGTGGTAGTATTATTGAAAATGTAACACATGTATCATAATTTGTTCATATTTTATTATAATTTTCAGCGAACTGAGGAATATAAGCTAGAAGCAGTTTCAGAGCTTAGGTTTGAAGTGGAGACTGGCTCTGGTAAAAATGTACAACTGGATGTAAGTATTCTGTCAATAAATTCTACATTGTTTTCATGGCTGGATTATGTGGTGCAACTGATGTATACTTGTCACCTGTCTGATGTTTTTCTCCTCGTTATCCAGCTTCCATAGTCCAGTCAATAAGACTTGAATGCACTTCAAAACTTGTCTACAAATATGATTAAGATTGGCAATATCATTTTGTTTCATAATTGAATTACTAAAACATAGAGAAGATTACCAGTTCAGAGATAAAGTCTATATGGTACCATTTTTTTGGTTTTTTGTTTTTTTTTTTTCGTAGCTTTTGGAAGGAATGGCTGAGGTATTTGGTGCAGAGCTTACCAAAGGGAGACAAATCACATTTGAAGAAGGAGCAAAAGTGGCTGTATTTACATGGCATGGCTGTCTTATCAAAATATCCTTTTATTTCCTTATTATCATCTAGATATTTCACATTGAAATGAAAACCAGTCACTTTGTAAACAAAATACCATGCTATAGTAATATCGGTCTGTAAGCACTTAAGCCTTCAGAAATACAAATTTTACGTAATTTCCTCCAGAATTTTCTTCAGACTGTTTGTTTAGTAACTCAAAAATACTTTTTTGGATTGAGATTGAGATTTTCGCATGAAAATTGAAGGCAAAATTAATACAGATTTTATTTTAAAAATAAAAATGTTTATATTCTCAGGTTTTAATGTATATAGATGTAATAGGAAGGAGTTATGAAAAACTCTGTACCCCCGCAGGAGTTCAACTAGCAACCCATCAGTCTAGTCAGAAACTCAACTGCTGGACTAAATGGGAATTCCCACACACCATGACTATTAAGGTGACCTGTAAACTTCTACATACTAAATACCGAATGTTGTTGGTCACAAAAACAGATAATTATATAAACTAAATGAGAGATGATCAAAACTTTCTGTTGTCAGTAACCAGTGATACTAACAGATCTTAAAATTTCCAGCAATGTTCATCAGCACTATAATATATTCAGCTGATTTGTGAGAGTCCACTGCTGTAGTCTGTGTTTTCACTGGGCAGTATGATCTTTGTAGGTGTCCTACCCACAAATTTCAGGGTCACACTTGAGCATGGCCAGGTCAGTTACATGTACTTGCCAATTTATACTTCTAGAACCTCCATGAGCGTGACCGATCACTAGAGAACATAATTCCACTTCTATGGCCATAATTATTGAACACTGCTTTATTTTGTAAAATAGATAAATAGATAACTGTCTTTCTATACTCATAAACTGCTTTCTTTATTCCTTTATTTCAATCCATCATCATCAACATCTATGATTGCCTTTGGCACTTTGATTTTTGTGTACTGATAATATGCTTATACTTTCGGTACAAATGACCTATTGGCAGCTGAATGGAACTTCATACGGTTTAAGGTCAATAAGGACACTACAATGAGAGGAAGGAGATGTTTGAGTCAAACATGTCTACAGTATACATGTTGATACTTGAGATGTCTGATGCATTTAGTATTTGTGAAAGAAAATTTTATATTATTTTATATATAATAATAATAATTATCTGCCAACTCTTCCCATTTTGAAGGGAAATTATAATTTAATTGAAAACCATGATTTAAACTTTAGACATAAATAATCAGTAAACTTTAGTAACATTTAAGTATTTAAAAAATCATTCACAAGTAAAAACAGCTTATAATATGTTTCAAAGACATTAGTTTATTAAAAAAACATGTGTTAATTATGTAAGGTCCTCTTAGGTATGGAATTGATCAGGTGACTGGAAAGAAATAAAAAAAGGCAAGTATGTTGTTATTATAGTGTTGGTTATAGCTGCCTTAACCTAGGACACTTATCAGGCAAAACTGAGGTGGCATATATTGCTAAGGAGACACCCATGGTGACGTACATCAATACTCATGCTGCCTTGGAGCAGATGAGACAGAAGGCGGAAAAGGAGAAAACACGAGGACCAAGGGTGAGTAATTATTGTCACCAACAAACCAGTTATAATAAAAATAGTTTTTACTCTTTTTGAATGAGATTTGCAGACAAACATACATTTACTTTGGGAAATAGTGATATTTAAAGTCTGTTGGTAATTTTGTGAAATAGGATTTTAAATCTAAAAATAAATATTGTGTAGGTTAACTTTGTAAAATTGTATACTTTGAGAAAAGTCAACACAAATGTTTATTTACATGTACTTGTTTCTGCTTTATAGATACAGACTGCGCCAAATTTCTTGTCTTGTCCCTGTTGCATTCTGGGAAAGGCATTAAATGTTTGCCTTTCTTTTTTTAATAGATATCAGTATTTTATACATGTATATCGTGGTTGATATGAAGAATTCAGCAAGCAATTGTTTTATTCCATATAAAGATATAGTAGGGAGCACAACATCTGGAAGATAGGAGAACTGGGGGAAGAGGGCATATCAAATGTGTATTGTTGTGATCTACTATTACCCTCTACATTGTAGTTAAACTCTATGTGTGTAGCTCCATTTCTGTGGTAAGATGTTTATTTTATCCCTATTTCCATGAAAGCAATGGTGACAGGCTATATCATAAACATTTTCTAGTATGATTTTAAGTTAAGTGTGATTTTATGATATAACCATCTTAGGATTAATCGGGATGGGGAGGGAGCAACACATTACCCCTGGCTAAAATTCAGAGAGTAGGATTGTCACCACTCAAAATCAGAGAGTAGGATTGTCGTCACTCAAAATCAGAGAGTGGGATTGTCACCACTCAGAATCAGAGAGTAGGATTGTCAACACTCCAATTCAGAGAGTAGGATTGTCAACTCTCCAATTCAGAGAGTTGGATTGTCACCACTCCAATTCAGAGAGTAGGATTGTCACCACTCAAAATCAGAGAGTAGGATTGTCACCACTCAAAATCAGAGAGTAGGATTGTCACCACTCAAAATCAGAGAGTAGGATTGTCACCACTCAAAATCAGAGAGTGGGATTGTCAACACTCAGAATCAGAGAGTGGGATTGTCACCACTCCAATTCAGAGAGTAGGATTGTCACCACTCCAATTCAGAGAGTAGGATTGTCACCACTCCCATTCAGAGAGTAGGATTGTCACCACTCCAATTCAGAGAGTAGGATTGTCACCACTCCAATTCAGAGAGTAGGATTGTCACCACTCAAAATCAGAGAATAGGATTGTCACCACTCAAAATCAGAGAGTGGGATTGTCACCACTCAGAATCAGAGAGTAGGATTGTCACCACTCCAATTCAGAGAGTAGGATTGTCACCACTCCAATTCAGAGAGTAGGTTTGTCAACACTCCAATTCAGAGAGTAGGATTGTCACCACTCCAATTCAGAGAGTAGGATTGTCACCACTCAAAATCAGAGAGTAGGATTGTCGTCACTCAAAATCAGAGAGTGGGATTGTCACCACTCAGAATCAGAGAGTAGGATTGTCATCACTCAGAATCAGAGAGTGGGATTGTCACCACTCCAATTCAGAGAGTAGGATTGTCACCACTCAAAATCAGAGAGTAGGATTGTCACCACTCCAATTCAGGGAGTAGGATTTTCACCACTCAAGATCAGAGAGAAGGATTGTCGTCACTCAAAATCAGAGAGTGGGATTGTCACCACTCAGAATCAGAGAGTAGGATTGTCATCACTCAGAATCAGAGAGTGGGATTGTCATCACTCAGAATCAGAGAGTGGGATTGTCACCACTCAGAATCAGAGAGTAGGATTGTCATCACTCAGAATCAGAGAGTGGGATTGTCATCACTCAGAATCAGAGAGTGGGATTGTCACCACTCAGAATTGAAATATTTGTTGATAAATCTTGTAAACAACAAAAGAGATGAGTTTGTTACCAAATGAGGGTTTTGCCTTCTAAATACAATACATAAGTATTACAGTTTGTATATAAATGTTCATCAGAGTAAGTTCATTTTAACCTTGCTGTTTACTTACTCCAGGTCATGGTAGTGGGTCCTACAGATGTTGGTAAAAGTACCCTATGTCGTCTGCTCCTAAACTACGCTTCCAGACTTGGGCGTGCACCCATATTTGTCGATCTGGATGTAGGACAGGTATAGTAATGCTTTTTGTCCTAATTTTGATTACTATATACCAGAATATTTTAGCCCTTGTGCTATTATACACTTATTTGCCTAATGTTAATTGGCCCTCTGAGGATATATAAAAGGGTTATACAAGTGTAACTAATATTTTGCCCCCATCTTAAGTTTGCCCTCCTCATTCATGGATGAAAAGGGCAAAAATTAAAAGAAGGCAGAAATTCCTAGTAAACAGAATATTCTTGATAAGTTGATATTCTAAAGAGGCTTTCACTAGAAAATGCTGAATTTCGAAGCTGCGCTGTTCCCTGTTTTGCTATAGACATAGAAATTAATTTTGCCTCCCCTTCAAATAAAGGTTTGTTCCACTACACTGCTGCATCAGCCATAACTTAAGAAATGTATATTTTCATGAAGTAAAAGCTGAAATGAGGTCACTGTGACCTTCATCTGTAGGTCAAAGTTTCCAGTCCCTTCTTGTCTAGGCCATAAGTTTTGAACTGTCAGAGAAAGATTTGATGACACTTGAAACATAACTACATCACCTTGCAGGCACTGTGAATTGCACTGAGAAAAAATCACTTTGATTTTTACTTCAAGGCTAAATAAGTTCATTTTTTCAGTAATTTTTGCCTGGGCATGGTTTAAGAATCATAAAAGATATCCTGATAAAACTGGAAGCCACCATAGAACATGTCAATCCTCAGATCAGAGGTCGTCCTTAATGTTAACTTTTAAATCCTTTACCTGTACAATTTGTTTTATATAATTTTATGAAGCAAGTTAATCAATTAACACGATTTATCAACAGAATTAATATAGTTTACTGTATTTCTGATAAAAAATATGTCCTTACTTTTATTCTCAGGGTGAAATATCTATTCCTGGAACTATTGGTAAGTACATCTTCACACAAAGCACCTAGCCATTACTGACATCAGGTCCAGTGTTAGAGCAGTTTTCCAGTATTGATGCTGAATGTCATATTTACGATAACAAAAGTTATATAAATAGTAAAATTGATTTGGTTGTAAATTATGTTGGTATTTTTCTTAAAGTATAACCGCCAAGCTTAGTATTCATCAAAAATTCAGCATACCTATCAATTATGAAATCAATGTTTTTGGAAATTTTTAGATAACAATAATATTATATCTAATACATAAATGATAGGTTTATAACATTGGTGTTTCATAACTTTGTTATACAGAGATCTAAGATATTTCTGATAAAAAACAAGAATCTATTTAGATTTTGTCCATTGTGTTAAAATGTTTATTAAAGGGAATAAATGATTGGTGACTAGTCTATATACCACAAAATAGTGAAGAAAATGTCTGCAAGTTTTACATGTATAGTAAACAGGGACTTCATAAGTTACAGGTATGATTATAGTAGAAGTAGTATGACTATAGCTGATGTTTATGTTTTAGGTAGTATAGTAGTGGAGAGGCCATCAGATATAGAGGAGGGTTACAACCTTAACGCTCCTCTGGTATTTCATTTCGGAAGTGCAAGCCCATCGCAAAACATTCAGCTTTTCAAACTCCTGGTTTCCAAGATGGCCGACACAGTTAACCAAAAATGTGATAAGAGTAAGAAGTGTAAGTAATGGACATATGCAGTGTAGTTGTTTGGGTGGAGAGAAGTGTAAGTAATGGATATATGGGGTGTAGTTGTTTGGGTGGAGAGAAGTGTAAGTAATGGATATATGGGGTGTAGTTGTTTGGGTGGAGAGAAGTGTAAGTAATGGACATATGGAGTGTAGTTGTTTGGGTGGAGAGAAGTGTAAGTAATGGACATATGGAGTGTAGTTGTTTGGGTGGAGAGAAGTGTAAGTAATGGACATATGGGTTGTAGTTGTTTGGGTGGAGAGAAGTGTAAGTAATGGACATATGGGGTGTAGTTCTTTGGGTGGAGAGAAGTGTAAGTAATGGACATATGGGGTGTAGTTGTTTGGGTGGAGAGAAGTGTAAGTAATGGACATATGGGTTGTAGTTGTTTGGGTGAAGAGAAGTGTAAGTAATGGACATATGGAGTGTAGTTGTTTGGGTGGAGAGAAGTGTAAGTAATGGACATATGGAGTGTAGTTGTTTGGGTGGAGAGAAGTGTAAGTAATGGACATATGGGTTGTAGTTGTTTGGGTGGAGAGAAGTGTAAGTAATGGACATATGGAGTGTAGTTGTTTGGGTGGAGAGAAGTGTAAGTAATGGACATATGGGGTGTAGTTGTTTGGGTGGAGAGAAGTGTAAGTAATGGACATATGGAGTGTAGTTGTTTGGGTGGAGAGAAGTGTAAGTAATGGACATATGGGTTGTAGTTGTTTGGGTGGAGAGAAGTGTAAGTAATGGACATATGGGGTGTAGTTGTTTGGGTGGAGAGAAGTGTAAGTAATGGACATATGGGGTGTAGTTGTTTGGGTGGAGAGAAGTGTAAGTAATGGACATATGGAGTGTAGTTGTTTGGGTGGAGAGAAGTGTAAGTAATGGACATATGGGGTGTAGTTGTTTGGGTGGAGAGAAGTGTAAGTAATGGACATATGGGGTGTAGTTGTTTGGGTGGAGAGAAGTGTAAGTAATGGATATATGGGGTGTAGTTGTTTGGGTGGAGAGAAGTGTAAGTAATGGATATATGGGGTGTAGTTGTTTGGGTGGAGAGAAGTGTAAGTAATGGACATATGGGGTGTAGTTGTTTGGGTGGAGAGAAGTGTAAGTAATGGATATATGGGGTGTAGTTGTTTGGGTGGAGAGAAGTGTAAGTAATGGACATATGGAGTGTAGTTGTTTGGGTGGAGAGAAGTGTAAGTAATGGACATATGGAGTGTAGTTGTTTGGGTGGAGAGAAGTGTAAGTAATGGACATATGGGGTGTAGTTGTTTGGGTGGAGAGAAGTGTAAGTAATGGACATATGGAGTGTAGTTGTTTGGGTGGAGAGAAGTGTAAGTAATGGACATATGGAGTGTAGTTGTTTGGGTGGAGAGAAGTGTAAGTAATGGACATATGGAGTGTAGTTGTTTGGGTGGAGAGAAGTGTAAGTAATGGACATATGGGGTGTAGTTGTTTGGGTGGAGAGAAGTGTAAGTAATGGACATATGGAGAGAGAAGTGTAAGTAATGGACATATGGAGTGTAGTTGTTTGGGTGGAGAGAAGTGTAAGTAATGGACATATGGAGTGTAGTTGTTTGGGTGGAGAGAAGTGTAAGTAATGGACATATGGAGTGTAGTTGTTTGGGTGGAGAGAAGTGTAAGTAATGGACATATGGAGTGTAGTTGTTTGGGTGGAGAGAAGTGTAAGTAATGGATATATGGAGTGTAGTTGTTTGGGTGGAGAGAAGTGTAAGTAATGGACATATGGAGTGTAGTTGTTTGGGTGGAGAGAAGTGTAAGTAATGGACATATGGGATGTAGTTGTTTGGGTGGAGAGAAGTGTAAGTAATGGACATATGGGGTGTAGTTGTTTTGGTGGAGAGCGTTTTAGGGTCATTTAAAGTGAAGAGAAAACAAGGGAAAATATCAAACTGATAAAGAACATTGAGTAGAGTGGGTTGATGTGGGTTGTATCAACAAATTTCATTAACTTGAAGTCATCGGGGGTCATAAAAAAAAATTTCCAAGTGTCTATTATCAAGATTAAAAGAGAATTCAAGTTAAGCAGGGTATTCCAGTTTACTGTGCTAGAATTAATTAAGTTTGACTGAAGTGTTAAATACAGTGTCACTAAAATAATGGAGCGTGCCTCTTTGGCCCAGTCAGTAGAGCCGTTGATTATCACAATGGAGATGCTGACAGGGTGGAGTCCTAGACAGAAATGTGGTTTACATATTCTATTCCACATGTTATAAAAAAAAATGGAAAAATTTTAATTGTTTATTAATTCTCAGGTATTTGTGAATAACAGTAATTATGAAATCAACACTATCACTTCACTATCATGAAAATTTGAAATTTTGTAGTAAATGTAGAGACCAATAAGTTGATTCATATTTTCACCATTTCTTTTTTGGATGATATTATCAGGCTGTGCCAGTGGAGTCATCATCAACACTGGAGGTTGGGTGAGGGGAGGTGGATATGACATGCTTAAACACACTGCTGGCTGTTTTGAAGGTAGAATTTTAACTCATCAACAATAGATGGGTCCTATCTCATCTCAGTTGAAAGTTGTCAGTTATGTGTTTCCATTGAACTTTTCACTTTCTTTAGATACTGTATACTGTGAATTGTTTGCCCTTGTTTTATTTTTACCCTATTTGTCCATAACAGGGAGGGCAAATTTAAAATTAGTGCAAACATTTGATACACTTTTATATAATACTCTTACATAATCTTTATAGAGCGAAATGAACATGAGGCAAATTCAAGCATAATGGTACCAGGGCTAAAATATATTTTGGTAATAATATACCGGTATGCCATTATGGATATGTGAAATTAAAAGAAAAGTGAAAAATGATAAGCATTCTATAGAGTTAGGAACATGTCATCGAAAAAAAAATTTTTTTCTGATAATTGCAGTTGATGTGATAATCGTGTTGGACCAGGAACGATTATACAATGAACTAAAGCGTGATATGCCCGACTTTGTGGAGGTGCTTCTTCTAC